GATAGAAGAGGTGATAAATCTTCCCCTCCCCAACTCTTATATGTATAGGTGGTCCCTCCATCTCCCTGGTGCCCCAAGTCAAAAATCCCATTGCCATGTGGAATTTTTCTTCATCCCTCAGAGCCAATGGCTCATCAACTTCTATCAATTTTATATTCTTAATATCTCTCAAAGGCATAATCTCACTACATTCTTTGTTCAGGCCTGCAAAACCCTTTAGATGGGCTTCTGCTATAACTTATGAATTGGTTTCTAGGTCTCACACTCCCCTCCCAGCCCTAAACTCCCCAGTGCTGCTAGACGTGTCTCACTCTCTAGATAAAGGCCAAGATCCACAAACACCAAGCACCTCGACTCTCCTCCTCAGCCTCATCACCCACTACTCACCCCCTTGCTGTAATGATAGTAACAATATTAATAGTTAGGATTTATGTTTTTAGGAGTTTTTATGGGCCAATCATTGCATTAAGCATTTTACACATATGAACACATTTTCATCTTTACAACAACCCTGTAAGTAATTTACTTAACCCTATTTTATCGGTGGAGCAATGGAAGTCCAAAGAAGTTAACTTACACAATATCATTCGAACCCAGGTGGACCTGCTTCAGATCAACTCTCTTAAGCATTGTGCTATACTATATCACCTCTTCAAACTCCATGCTTCAGCAAAACTGAGTTCTGGTCTTTTATGCTTCAGCAATACCGAGCTACGTACAGTCCCTTGAACTCTGTATTGCCAAGGCCACTATGCCTTTGTATACGCCATTTCTTTGCCCCTTGGGAAGGCCCCCTCCTTCTGTCTGATAAATACCAACCCATTCTTCAAAACCTCCCTAATGTGCTGTCTTTTCAGTGTGGTGCCTCTCCTCTGCCTGAGACCAAAGTCTCTCTTACCCCTTGACCACTCCTACAGCTTATGTGTACCTTGTAAATACTCCTCTATTGCCATGGTTTGCAATGATTCATTTGCATGTCTTCACTGAAGGTAATCCTATGGCTTTCAGCTTTGGGTCACAGTGCCCAGGCACACAATAGATGCTCAATAAATGTGGATTTAACTGGGCTTTCAATAAAAGGGTTGAGTATAAGTTCACTAACACTCTACCTGTCAGGGCAGGAGAGAGGTGTATTCTCCATACTCTTTAAAGACATATATTCATGAGCAAAACAAAAAGAAAAACTCACCAAACAGTACAGATGTATCTAAAGGGAAGATGCAGCATGCATAAAAATTCAATACATTCTGACAACTACAGCAGTTAGTTTAAGATCCCTGAATGTACCTGCTGTTCATAGCAACTGCTGAGGAATGTGATTTCAGCAAGACAAAACAAAACCAAAAAAGACTTTTATCCCATGGGTTCTCAGAAAAATACATTTGGAAACTTGCTGAAAGTGATTAACTGAGTCACAAACCGCTCACTGGCATGGATAAGAGTTTTACTGATTTGGATGTCACTGAGGTTTAGAGATCATCGCTTAAGCCCAATGCAAATATGACATTTCTGACCACTAAGGTTAAGATTCAAGCATCTTCTGGATTTTCTAGGCTGCGCTTCAGCAAAACTAAAGGTGTACCTCAAAACTGAGCAGCAACATTTAGAAATCAATGATAGCCCCTTCTTTACAGCGTGACATAGAGGAGATATAAGTGAAAGAGAAGCTTGGTCCCTTCTCCTCAAAAGTTTTTAATCCAACAGGAAAAGAAAAGATGTTATAAACATAAGCGGTAACATAAAGCAGGCAAACTAATTTCCATTCTGAGTTGTGAGCAGATCAAGTCAATGGAATATCCACAGATCTACGAAATTTACAATCTCTAAAGCACACAATCATTACTTCAGTTTAAAACAACAAATTTTGGTTGAAATAATCTGTCCATTCAGCCTAGATTTCTGTCCCTCAAAGCAGCAGGTCGATGGTTGTATTGAGATCGCCTTGAGGAAATAAGGGAGGGGGAGAGAAGGCCAAAGCCAGTCATAAAAAAGGAACCGTTTCCAATGGAACATGTGAGCTTTACAGCAAAACAGCAGACAAAGTCAGTGTGCATCCAGACAACCCAATGTCTGCAACCCAATGTCTGTCAAGACAAAAAGAATGAGAAAAACAATATATCGTCTTTGGGACACAGCACAAGGAACCCAGGCTTTCAGTTCATCAGTTCTGTGTAAGAATCTAGACCTCAAATTAAGTCCATAGGCTCCTTTCCCCAAGAACTCAGAGAGTTGTAGGCCCAGGTAGGGCTCTGAGTTGGAAGAGAAAGCTTCCAAGTTTTCCTGTGACAGGGCAAACCAATAAACTAGTGCCATGCTGAACTGGCAAGGCAGATGTGACGGAGCAAACCAAAAGGCTTCCATGATGACAATCTCTACCATAACATAGATTTAAGGGAAGAGTCTGAAACCATTCAACCTCTCTTTCTTTTGTCTAAGTGGTACAAACATCTTATCCCTAGGAGCTCTAAGATGCTCATTCACAGGCTCAAAGCTGGGTTTTACTCTTTGATAGATGCAAGAAGTTGATGTTAAAGAAAAGGGTAAGAAGAAATCCTCTGGATTACAACGTTAATCAGAACAAATAGCCGGGATCAAATGCACAAAAGGAATGTGTGGAAAGGAAGCTAGGCTTGGGCAGGAGAGATATTCCCAGGGCTAAGGCATGTCCAAATGAGGGAGAGGGCTAGGCACCCTCGCCTGGACACTGGGCACACCCTCCATGAAGCTGGCGAAAGGAGAGGACAGCTTGGGAATGGCAAGGTCCTTTGGAAAGAACAGATTTGGGTAAACCGATCAGCCATGTAAGGAACAGTGTTAACGTGGGTCTTGGAGGAGGAGACAGACTTTAGAACAGTTAAGGGAGGTCACAGAATGGGAAGAGTCACACTGTAAGCATATGCTACATGTCCTTAGGGAAGGACATAGAGCCAGATTTGATCAGTGTATAACAGGAGACTACAACAGCCACATACATACTGTCCTGGAGAGGAGGACACCGCCCTTCATCTTTCCTACCCTACATAACAAATATAAAGTAGTGCTGGCCCTTTGAGACCAACAATGAGTAGATGTATGTAGATGATCTTCAGGACACATATTCCCAAACTCCACGAATCCCGGAAATCCCCAGTAACAAACAGGCTATGACAACCTTTACTCTTAGAAGGGAGGGAAGAAAATCCACCTCCCTCTCTGTTTCACCAAACTGAAGATATGGGTCCCTGACCTGGGGAGTGGAGACAGCCCTCCCACACTCTCCCACTTTGCTGGGAAGAACCCAGGTTACTTTAGAACCTAGGCTCTCTGTCAGCGTGAGCTGTTGGAATCGGACTGTTGCAGGCTGGACTGCTGGAAGGCCAGGGTGAAACCAACCTGAGAATTCTTCATGCATTTGACTCTCTCAATAATACTATCAACAGGTGGGTGAGGGGAAGAAAGGCTCTAGCCACTTGTCAGGTTCAGACACACAGGTGTGATGCCAGAGCAGACTTATTTTTCCAAGAAGTGGCTCTAGTGAGAGCACAGACTGCATGACAGCCAGGACAACACCACTCAGACTAATATTTAAGGGCCCCTGACAAACTGAAAAAGTAAGAAGTTATAGGACGTACCGCCCCGAGGAGCAGTGGCCTTGTTTACGCACAGCGTGAATCTCTTCAACTGATTAATTGTTTTGGGGGCTTGGTACATGGATGACAAAGCTTGAACAAAAATGACCAATACCAAAAGAGAATGTCTCTGAACACACATAGCAGAATGATAAAAGCATAGCCACCTTATTTAAGAGGCACTTTAGAATCTAGCATGGTTTAGTGGCACCAACACTGTTCAAGTTGCATTAATAGTAAGCATGACTTTAAAATCTCCATGATATCACGCATGTACATGTATGTGTTTTACATATGTGTACGTGTGTGTGTATAAACAGGGCATGTGAGAGTATTCTAGGACACTTCTGAAATGTAGGAAATACCATGGGAAATTTCAAAAGGAAAAATTACTAAGTCTTCCAAAGTATTGTGTATCTGCATTTACGCTACAAAACATTATCGGTATAACCCGACAGAAGGAACCGTTTTCTTGTGTTCTTTGAACACTGGAGCAGAGAGATTATGACGCCCCAAATCTGACAGCCAGCATCCTGTTTATTGACTGCACCATTGCTCTCATGCATGTTCACGTGTACGTGCAAGGCAACTTTTAAAGAAAAACAGAATCTGTATTTACACAACTCAGAGGGTGTGCCCCTCTAAAACCACAATAATGCCACCTCTCTGTGCTGGACACAAATGTGGAGAGAGGAGAAACACCCCCTTTAAAATCACATTCTCTCAACCCAACTGTCAGCAACTAACTCTGACCTGTCTTTCATTTGTGGCACGAGCTTCACCTTGATTTTTGAAGTCTTTCCCCCCCCCCCACTTAATTCTGTCAAATATATGTTACAAAGTGAAAAGGCCAGTCCCCTATTAGAAATAAATGTCAGCAAGCCAGTAAAAAAAACAAAATGGCAAAGTTATGCAGACCTGTCTCTTTAAGCAGACAATATGAAACAGGCTAAGTTGAGCTATCTTTGCATTGTACATCTGCATCTTATAAAGGTCAAATATTTAATAGAGGGGAACATCTGAAAGGCTCTACAAAGAGAGGCAGAAGCCCTGAGGTCTGGGTAAGCAAAATGGATAAACACGATTAGATCAAAGAGACAGACTAAGACAAAGTATCTCCTCCCCCTTCCCTTTTTCTCTCCCCACCACTCACAACTCAACGTCCCATTATCCACATTTCAAAAGAAGAATTCTGGAAGCACATTCATCAGAATTACCCAGGAAATCTGAGAGGAGGAGGGACTACCTGAAACAGTGCCCCCCTGGCAGGGTATAAACTTTTCAAACTGTCACCCAATAAACAAAACCCCAGTTGCTAAGGGAGCTCCGGCAGTCGGGCGCCTCAGAAACCAAAGCATTCCCTCTCCAGGCAAAGGATTCCCCCGTTTTTACCTTTGTGTCCGCCGAAGCCTGTTCCCACTCCTCAAATGGGGCAAAGTAAAGTTTGAGAGCACAGTCCAAAAATTGGGGTCAGACATATCCATTTCTTTCTCTCTTCAATTCACTGCGGGTTCAAGGCCATAAGGCCAAAACGGGGAGGGGGGAAAAAAGAAAAAAAGATCCCAATTATCTACTCACTCCCTCCAGAGGAAGCGTGCTGTGAACTGTGACCTCAAGAACAACTTGGAGCATATCAGAGAAGTACCCGTCCCAGCCTTTAATTAGCACACAGCCATTTCTCCGAGGTTCGGGAAACTTATTTCCTCTTAGGTTTGCCCTCTCCTGGTCAGCCCTGGCCAGCTGCAAACAGTCATTACAAGAGTTGGGCCGTGCGTTCTGCTCAAAATGCTGTCTGTGTGTGATTCAGTCCAAGGTACTTTGTCATCTGTTTGGCAGATACCATTTGCAGCTCCTGCGGGGAGGAGGGGGGAGACGACTATTTTAAGTCTTTGGTTCCGGGAGGCTGTTGCTTATCGGCAAAACCATTCAACATCCGAACATGCCCAGTGCTGAGTTTCCTTTTGGTATCTACATACAAGGAAAGGAATTTAAATAGAAAAGGCTCCTCTTCTTCTGCCTCCTCAAAAAACGGAAACTTACAAAAAGCACTTTGAGCAAACTGGCCTATTGGGGGACTCGAGCCGGACACCTTTGCGCAGCCTCCCCGCCTCCCGCTGGAAGGGGCTGGGCGCGGGGACCCTTCCCCGGGCAGACACTCCCAGGAGCGGGGCCTCATGGGAAAGGGGGCAGGCGGGGACCTGTGTGAGCCCCGGGGAGGCCGGGACACCGACCATCCGAGCATCGCCGCCGCCGCCGCCGCCGCGCCCCCGGCCCGCAGCCCCAAATGGATCATTCCCCTAAAATAAATAAATAAATCGAGCGGTGGCTCCGGAACACCGTGAAGCGTGCGTCGCGCGCACCTGAAGGCTGGTTTGTGATTCACTGCAGAATGGATCACCAATAAAACACTCCAAGGAAGTCAGTAATAACTCTTTCCCCAGACGCTGTTTGTGGTGTAGGAAAAGCACGCCAATGGGATGTCACGCTCACCTAAAACCTCAGTAAACTAAATTTACGCGTTTACAGCCACTTGATAAATTACTAGAGTAGACACCTGTTTGGCTGCAACGACCTGTCTAGGGAAAGGTCAGCCATTACCTGTAAAGACACTAGCTGGCATTCATTTAACAAATGCTAGAATTATTTTCCTTCCAAGTGGTTAGAGCTTGAAACGAAGGAATGAAGGGGAGGTTGAGTTAATGTTATTGTTATTCATTTTGAAGAAAGGCATGGTATTCAAATAACTCCCCAAACCCACAAATGCCTGTGTAAAAGTATATAAAGAAAAAATTAGAATTTAAAGTAACGGCCCAAAATCTGGTGTAATATGGCAACAGATACTAAACTAAAAAAAAAATTTTAAGCAAAAGTCACTTGTTAAAAAATAGTTTGGTTCATCCAGTAAATACTGGGAACAAACTGCTTAGAGAAATATGAGGGTGACTATGAGGGGGTCAGCTGACAAGGGAGGAGGGCAAACAAATAAGAGAAGTCCACCATGGGGTCCTCTGTGTCTACTTCTTGTGACCCAGAGACCCCAAGGAATCTAAGAATTGCTGATAATAATTCTTATACAGGACTTTCTTATATATCATCTCCTCACATTTTCATAGAGCCTCTGCTCAGACCCTTGAAGTAGACAAAGATAGAGAAAGAAGGCAATATTTTCTCATTTTGCAAGTGACAAAATACTCTTGACCAGATGCTTAGGGGCTTGGTCCAGTATTTTTTGCCCCATACTAAGCCATCTCTTCTTTTTAAAAATGTATTAAGTATTAAAAAGGTACTTTTTATAGGCCAGAACAAATACAGTACCTAAGCTCTAAAGCAGAGTTTCTCAACCTCAGCACTATTGACATTTTAGGCTGGATAACTGTGTTTTGTGGGAACTGTCTTCTGCATTGGAGTGTGTTTAGCAGCAACCCTGACCTCTATCCACTAGATGCCAGTTGTGACAATCAAAAATGTCTGCAGAGGGGCCAGCCCCGTGGTCTGGTAGTTAGGTCGGGCGCACTCCGCTTCAGTGGCCCAGGTTAGCGGGTTCAGATCCCCAGCGCAGACCTACACCACTCATCAGCCATGCTGTGGCAGCAACCCACATACAAAATAGAGGAAGATTGGCACAAATGTTAGCTCAGGGCTAATTCTTCAGTGAAAAAAAAAAAAAAAACAATGTCTGCAGACATCACCAAATGTTCCTTGGGGGCAAAATCACTCCTGGTTGAGATCACGGCGCTAGATAAAGGCTCCCTCCAAGAAAGGGGGCATAGAGCATTGGTTAAGAGCAAAAATCTTGGATTTGAATTCTGCCTCCAACAGTCACTGTGACTTTAGGCAAGTCACTTAATCTGTGCTTACTTCTCCCATTTTTATGGTGACCATAATAGGACCAACCTCTAGAGGTTGACAAACATAAATGAGATGACATACATAAACCCCTTCATGCAGTATCTAGTATACACTGTACATAAATGTCCACAATAGACAGAAGCTAAAAGAATACCATGCTGAGAGGTGTAAGACTGGAGTAGGGGGCATCCCACATGGTGCCCTCCACTTTCATGATACCTCGAACATGCCTGTTTCGCTTCGGGCCACTGAAGCGGAGTGCGCCCGACCTAACTACCAGACCACGGGGCTGGCCCCTCTGCAGACATTTTTGATTGTCACAACTGGCATCTAGTGGATAGAGGTCAGGGTTGCTGCTAAACACACTCCAATGCAGAAGACAGTTCCCACAAAACACAGTTATCCAGCCTAAAATGTCAATAGTGCTGAGGTTGAGAAACTCTGCTTTAGAGCTTAGGTACTGTATTTGTTCTGGCCTATAAAAAGTACCTTTTTAATACTTAATACATTTTTAAAAAGAAGAGATGGCTTAGTATGGGGCAAAAAATACATGAGCTGCTGGTCACACTGTATTATAATTGACTGTTTATGGCTGTCTTCCCTATTAGTCTGTGAGTTCCTCAAAGCTAAAGCCATGTTTTATTGATCTCTGTATTTCCAAAATCTGACAGTTACTGATTTATATAAGCATTTCATAAATGCTTTTTGAATGGAGACACTTCAGATGCCCAGGTATCTATTCTTTAAGATGCCCTGAAATTATCAGTATTAACAAGTCAACTGATTTTCTCAAAGAATCCTGCATTCTTAAGAATCCCATGAGGATATTTTTAAATTCTAAAGACTTTCTCTTATTGACTCATTTTTATCTATATTCTATAACTGGAAACAGAAGTGTAAACATTCCTCAGGTCTTATCATGGATCTAAGAAATGTCACAAGCAAATCCAAGGGGCATTCTCTTTGAATCCTCCCTCCCTTCAATCCCCAATAAGCCCAGGGAATAATTTTTGTGCTCAGTTTTAGGTATCTGAGTTTAACAGGGATAATTACATATTAGAGGCTGCCCAGAGAAGAGCAATCAAGATGGTAAAGGGGACTTGAAAGTGTGCTATATAAATTATGGGTTGAGGAATTCTGTGTTGAAAGTGGAGAAGAGAACATTTAGGAAACAAGTGACAGCTGTCCTTGAATACTGACATAACTACAATGTGGAAGAGTCTTTGGGTCCAAAGATAAAAAGGGCTGAAACAACAAGGGAGCACTTCCTGTAAGGGTGTTGGAGTAGAGGTAACTTGAAGGAGATGCTGTGAGTGGGACTCAAGTTCTGGATGGTTTCAAGACCTGAAGACTCTGTACCTCCCAACTCTTGTATTCTCTATGGTCCTTCTAGAAAAGCCTATGTATTTGGGCAACACCCATAAAGATGATAGCAACTAAAATGGATAAATCGATGACATAAAACATTTATTTCTTCTCTTGATTGAATGATGCATATCCTGGCCTGTGGGCAACAGATGTCATTACTATCTCCAATCCTGTACATTTTGAGAAATCTACCATGCAGATTCTCAAAGGGATGGGTAAAGATATGAGTATTTTTAACTATGTATACTTTAATATGTTTTTTGCACTTAAAAAAGGCTTGGTAGAATTTGGATTGTATCCAAAATTAAAAAAATAAATAGGTAAAGTGCATGAGGAATCAGAAATGAACTAGTTAATATAGTGAAAGTAGCTAATATATTCCCACACTCCTTTAAGATAAGAATAGGTGTGGCACTAAAGTGTAACTTTTCTTCTAACCCGTTTGACTTGATTTGGGAAACTATGATTCACAAAGTAATGCAGTCAGTAAATAGAAGAATTAAAATTGTCAGAACTACTGACATTGTCCTACAGACAAAATAATTATATGGGCAGAAACTAGAGTATAGTTTAGTTGCAAATGTAGTAAAACTGGCTACAGAACTAAGAGGGAATTGAGATTATTGGAAATTCTTAAGACTATAGTTGGTCTAGGTCAATATACAGATATTCATCAAGATTTTCTACTTACTGCCCAACAACTAAGCCTACACAGCAATGGACAAGCTTTGTGATCCAGAATGCTCATTCACTGAATCAGGATGATATAATCTGCCATTGTTTTTAAGAGAAAGGTAAATGGGATTAAAAAATAAGCTTGTCACGCTACTGAAATGCTAGCTTAGGACAAAATGAGTATTTAAGAAAGAGTCAAATTCTTCACTATTCATCCTCCTTCCACATATAAAATATTCCAAGTCCTTTTCACTGACTTGAATTCTCCACTTTACTTCTCAGCCTCTGACCCATGCCCATTCAGTAGAATTTTCCTCCACCCTACACAGAACAGTGTTAAAGATAATATCCCTGGAGTCTTACCTTGAGTTTAGACAGTATAGGAAGGAGACTAAGTTTTCCAGTGTAGGTATGAGGTTTGGGAAGCTGTCAGCTCCCTGCACTGACACTCTGGCCATACGGCCACATCCAATGAGAAGATGCTAGGGAAAGTGGGGTTGATATTGAGTTTCCAAATGTGTTCTACCTCATCTTGGCCTGGGCTGGGGATTCTACTATAAATTAACTTTGACCTCTGTCTACTCCCATCTTCAGAGCATAGAAGTGACTACCTCCCCAAGGCTGTCCACACCTACTGGTCTACTTGGATCACCTTCGAAATGCTGTCTGGAGAGTTTCACTCTAGGAGTGTGAATAGCAAACTGCCCATCCTGAAGCAGCAGTCCTTGTAATCACTGCACATCTTAAGAAATAAAGCTTAAAGACTGGGCTAGAAATGTGAAGAAAGTCACATCAATGGGGAGCAGATTGAAAGAAATCTCTTCTAGAGTTATTAAGCAAATTTTTTGCTCACATTACTAAAATATGAAGGAAGATAAAAAGATCAATGAAAATTAACTTCTAGGGATAGATTTGAATGCTGAAAACCAAGAGACAGATTTAAATAAGTAGGGTTATATCGACTCAGGAATGTTTAAAAAATTCTAAAAAAATATCACAAAGTAAGAGAGATTCAGATTTCTAAAGTGAATAGAGAAAACAAAAAAGACAAAATT